GCTGCAATAGAATTTGGAATTAATCTGAAGGTTGTTGTCGGTTGGTGCTACGACATTCAAACGTTTTCCGATTCTTTCCAAGAACCGATTCTACCTATCGCGGATCGGAAAGATGTTGTTATCCCACAAGATATATCGGATATGATACTGATTCCTCCATACAGTAGACGACTACCAGGGAGACCAACCACCAAAAGGATAGTGATACCATCCAGGGGTGAAAATCGGGTAAGTTTTAACATTCTAACATGTGCACTTATTTACTTATATCTATGTTTAGAGTATAAGATGTGTTGATTTTTAACTTATTGTTGTTGTCACTACAGAAAAAAAGACAGAAAAGACTCTTTCCGAATCAGTGTACAAGATATAGACAATCATTTCATAACAAGAAGACTTGCAAAAATCCTATTTAGTTTTATGTCCTTGTTTTTTGTCACCGTGTAGACGGTGTACGTTTATATCTGGACCATGTGTACCACATTTTTTGTCGGTGTACGTACGTTTAATGTTTGCTATCGTATAACTATGTACGTTTCTGATATGTCTGTGTACATATACCTTACACCAAAAACGGTTACACACATTTGTATCTCAACCGTTGAACCCTTTCGCAATAACCATTGCGTCCGTTACGGAATTTCCTTATTTAAGCCACATATCCTTCTCACTTCCACGTTACTATAATCGAAAACCCTTTTATATTCTTCTCCAGTTATATCTATCATACACAAAGTCCTCCGATTGTTCTTGCTATCCGTGTCATGGACGGGTATCATACCATCTCCGAACTTTGTCCTCTGATCACTGGGTGGACAATTTGTATATTTGTCGTGAGAGTGTTTAAGAAGTTCGTTGCGCCCAACGTTTTCGAAAGGTACTCCGGTTTGGAGTATGCGTTCATCTTCGTCTCGGCAGGGTACCGGTCTAGAGAAAACAGTCTTGGTGGTAACTCTTCAACTATAAGATATGCAGTCAGAGCCACACTACTACTGCCTGCAAGTACAAGTGATATACACATAAGTAAGGATGTAAACAGTACAAATTCGTGTACGTACACAGGAATTATCAACATCATATACTCAAAATCTGAATTTTGGCGGAAATAACATTTCCAATTCAACTTCTCACATTTTCAACCTACAGATTTAGCAAATTTCGCCTAGTTCTATCCCTTTAATCAAACATGTTTTAAGATTCCGATACCCCCAAAGAAACAACAAACGAAATAATATCAGAACTACCCAATTTCTCCGGCAGCTTTGTCGAAGGGAGTTTCCTCCTCGGGGAAACTCTGAGTTCCTGCTTCTCCTTCTCTGGGCCTTCCAGCGTATGCTGCTTTGTCAGGACTTCATCGTTTGGTTTATTCCCAGACATCTCGATGGTTGCTATCTCGCCGGAGGTTTCTCAGTTCCTCTTCTCCGGAAAAACTATAACTTTCTCTTTGCCGATTTTTGGAGTTCAATGCGATGCCTCAAATCAAGTAGCGAACAATTCGAACGGTGATGTCGAAAAACGAAGATGATGGATGAATGAATTTCGAACTGATTTCTACTTCTCTCTCGAATCTCTCCGTCTCTCTCTCGTTCTTCTTCTTCGTTTTCTTCTAGGTTTTTGCATAAGCTGTATGGAATCAGAAGCGGGTACGTGTTAGATGCGATTTATATGACATAATTATATAAAAATTGTATTGTATATATAGCTTAAATTAAACAAAATAAATCATAAACTTTGTTATATGTTAACATCCTTTGTTGAAAACTGAAATTATTTTTTGAATTGTGTATATTATAAAAAAAATATTAACAACTTACTGTCAAATATATACAACAACGGCTTGTGTTATATTTTTAATCTAAAATTTTGTTTAATAGACAATAAATTCTCAAATTTCTTTTGAAAACATAAACAAAAAAATAGATATAACAATATATAAGGAAGAAAAATTTCTTAATTCAAAGTTTTAATGATAAACATATTCTTCTTCTTACCTTATGGTTTCATTAAGGATTTAATTACTTTCCTAATGTATATTTTAGAAAGTCTCGCAGTCATTAAGTCTTTTTTTTCTCCTTAAATATATATTAAAATTAATTGAAAAAGAAAAAGATTTTTAAATTTTAATGAATAAATCACGTGTTCTTTGGAACCCTAATTGCTCCTTCTTCATTCGCCGCCATAGTTTTTCTTCCTGACAAAAGTATTTCCTCTGTTCTTTCGGATCTAAACTCAAATTCGTATATTTCAATTGTGTATACACAGATTAAAGTCATTTGCAAAGTGGTTTGGCCATTTTATCATACGCTTCCAATTCATTTCTTCAGACGTTTCCAATTCGGAACCGTGAGCTTCCTCTGCGCTTCCAAGCTGTCCTCTCCGGAACCGCGATTCCACTGCGCTTCTGAGCGATTCCGGTCGAACCCGATTCCGGTTCCAATTCTGAAGCGGGAATCAGAGCTCTGATGACGCTTCCATGTAACGTAGGTTTCTGCGCAAGTATATATATATTTTTTTAAATTCAAAACTAAACCATAAAACAAAGAAAAAATAACTAAACCAAAACCAACTGTGCCATTTGGTTTAATTCATAAGGGGTATTTTCGTCAGATTTTGGCTTAATTGTCAAAACGTGAGAACCAAATCTCATTTTGCCAAACACTGAGAGAAAATCTTTTTTTCTGGAAAACGTGAAATTTTCTTTAACCAAAACCAGAAAATGGATTGAAGATTAGTAATGGGCAGGCACAGTCCATTATTCATCTACCCAACATGTTGAACAAAGTTAAAGACTTATAGTAAGTAGAACTAACATGAAATAAAGCAATGCAAATATCACCAACAAAATATATATAGCCCCTACTACTAGTCTTGTGTAGGTTAGGCACATATATGTTTCGTCTATTACAACTTTATATTGAAAATCATGTAATTTTGCAAACCATGATTTAATATTTTATAGCAGATGAACATTTATAAATCCTCTTTTTAGTTGATACTCAATCTTAGAATACACATACTCAATCTTAGAATACACACATTATTGAATATAAGAGAAAACTAATTAGGGTTTTTTTTTTCGTCGAAAACTAATTAGGGAGAGCTTATATAAGCTTAACTACGAAGAGAAATCCTAATTAGTTTTCTTTTAATTCCGGCGCAGAGCTGCAAGACGAGCCATCCATAAATACTACGCTGCGTCTTTATTTCTCGTTAAACAAGAATATTAACGTGTTCTTTATCATTTTCGTTTGTTGCAATCTCTCATTCTCTCCCTGGTCGTATTTTTCTACAACGTCAAATGTATAGTGAAAATGACCTCTGTTCTGTCTTTCTTGTTTTAAATGCATTGTACAAAAGCAAGGAAATAATACAAGCGTTGACATGTAGGGTACCAACTTTCAATTTTTAAGAGCATACTCCGTAGCAAAAAAAAAATTATAAGAGCATACTCTTCTGGGTATCTCAAAAAAAAAAAATTAATTATTTTAATAGTGTAATATATTTTAATTATTTTTTAATAACTAAACCAATAATTGATTGACAAGTGGCGAATTTGTTTGAGAAACGTTCATTTCTCTCCCTTTCTTCTATTTTTCTTAGTTACTATTTTAAGTTTTTAGATGAAAAACACTGATGGAAATGGTCTAATGTTGTAAACAAATATTTGAGTCCCAGAAAAGACTTCATATAGTCTTTTAAATAATAATATAATTTTATATTAATATTTTAAATAATAAGCTAAATCATACGTAATGTACAATATTAAGCTTCTTTCCTATTATAACATTTTCACATTTAACCAAAACAAACATGTCTGTTCTCCCTCTCTCAAATAAACTACTTGAGAATTTTAAATGTTCTAAGCTCTTGTCGTATATTATAACATTTATTCAAGACCTAGACAGTTTACCGGCGAAACTCGAGTCGGATATTAGATTTATCAAAATCCTTAATTATATCTTTCATTTATAAGAGACCCAAAACAAATAATTTTTACCAAAAAAAGGAGACTCTGTCCATATTCTTATATAAATAACTTTCATCCATCAGCTAATAGACCAACATACAACCACTACAAGAAAACAGGCGATTACCGACTACAGCAGCCGACTATTCATGTAGTCGCCAATTTTAGCGACTATCTTGCTTCTTTTTTACGACTATTACACGACTACAGAAAAGTAGTCGTAACGTAGTCGCCAAAGAGCGACCAAAACCGGTTGTCAGTAATGTAGTCGGTATATGGCGACTATTTACCGACTAATAAGTTGAATATATATATTAGTTGTATATTAGTCGCTATTTTAGCGATTATTTTGGCGACTACAACTTCTGTTAGTCGCTATTTTGGCGACTACAACTTCTGTTAGGCCCAATTGGCCCTGGTTATGTTTGCGAGATTTCTAGAGTTCCTAAACACTTCACTTCTCGAAACCCCTATCTTCTTCATCTCAAACCCTAGCCGATCTTCTCTTCTTCGATTTCATTTGTTTCAAAGTTCTTCTTCGATTTCGAGTTCTTGAACCTCTTCTTCGTATCCTTCTTCTTTGATCTCTTCTTCGGTTTGATCTCTTTCTGCTTCAATCGATCTCAAAAGCTGAATCCTCTTCCTCGCAAACCCTAGATTTCTAAATCTCTCTCAGTTTCTTCTATTTCCTCTTCCTCGCAAACCCTAGAAGCTCCAATCTCTCGCTCTTTAGTCGATTCCTCTTCCTCGCAAACCCTAGATATCAAATCTCCCTCTTTTCTTCGATTTCCCAACAAAGATCTCTCAGTCTCTCTGTGAAACGATGGCTGGAAGAGGAAGATGAAGAGGAAGGAAGAGACATAACACTCCAAACATCGCTCAGAGAGCCACCGGAAGTCCTGGTGGACGACCTAATACTCTACCGGCGCAGTACAACTTCACGCCGGCGGTCCAACATCCTCCTCAGCTGCAGACGCCTGAAGTACAACCTCCTGTTTTGCCAGTACAGTCGAGGACAACCCATCTCCGGAACTATCCACCGCCACAACAACTTTTCCAGCACTCTTTCACTCCACAACGTGAACCTCAAGTAGGAAGGACGCCTTCAGAAGAAGTACTCCAGAACAATCAACAGCCTCCAGCCACTTCTCAGCAAGCTGCTCCGATTCTTGAGCAGGAGGCTCCGCCTTCTCCGCCCCATAACTCTCAGACTCACAGTCAGCCATCGTCTCAAGGCAACAACTTCGTGGAGTTTCCTCCGGTGTTGCCGGAACTCCAAGAAGACTCACAACAGGCTCTCAACGACCTACTTGCGGTGCCTGGCAGGGAAAATTACATTACCGTCCTCAATCCCGAGCCCATAGACAAAACTTCATGGTATGATCTTCTTGCTTGTGTTGTTTGTTGTAATGAGTTATGTATTTTGGTGATGACAAGTGATGAGATGACAAGTGATGCATTTTGGTCTCTGATGGGTTATGCATTTTGATGAGGATTAGTTGAAACCCTAAAATTGTTTGTTCTGTATGCTTATTGTATTGGTGTCTCTGTTTTGATATGAATCACTTAATTGTTTTGCTATGAATTATTTAATTTGTTTTATGCGTATTGTAATGGTGTAATGGTGTCTCTGTTTTGCTTTGAATCACTTAATTGTTTCTTTATTAAGTGTCTCCGACTGTTTATTCTTTCATGTGTATCTCTGCTGACTTGTAGACTAATGGTGTGACTGTGCTGACTTGTAGACTAATGGTGTGACTGTGTTGTAAGAGTTGTGGTCTGATGGCTTATGAGTTTTGTTGAACTAAGAGTCTGAATTATGACTTGTGCTTTTCTTATGCGTATTGTAATTGTTTCTCTGTTTTTGCCTTTGTATTATCTGCTTGTTGATTTATTAATTGCATCTCACTGTTTGTTTTTCTTGTGTATCGAGGTTTACCCGAGACACGGGATCAAGACTTGTTCGGAAGATAACCAAGGTTTTTACAAACAAATTTGCTGGTCCATTCTACAGCTGGACATGTGTGCCTCGTGATAAACAAGAGAGATACTTCCTCGAGTTTGCGGTAAAGTTTGCTGTCCTATAGTTCTTCAATATGTTTGCCTGTCCTCTGTTCACTAATATAACAGTAGCTTTTTTTTTTGTAGAAAACCCACACCTGGGATCCTTTGATAACAGGGACTGTCCAATATTTTTTTGAGCTCATCTGTTTAAAGCGGATGAAAGACATGGTTAGTGGTGTAAGGACTAGTCGTGAGAAACCTTCTTGGATAGGAACGACCCTCTGGAAAACAATGACTGATTTCTGGGACACTGAGGAAGCACAGGCAAAGAGTCTCACCTACTCAAAGGTCCGTAATTCTGACCGTAACGGTCTCGGTCCCCACAAACACTTCTCAGGGCCTAAGTCATTTCAGCAAGTTGAAGCTGAACTGGTGAGTCTACTTTCTGTCTTTGCCACTTTTTATTCTGACCTATCACTTCTTATTAACCCTTGTTTACTTGGTTATATTGCAGGAAGAGGAATTGGGAAGACTAGTCTTAGTGAAGTTTTCATCAAGACACATACGAGGCCTGATGGTACCTTTGTTGATCTGAAGGCGGAGAGATTGCAAGGACATACGAGAAGAATGTGCAAGAGAGGTTGTCTGAGCTCGAGGCAGATACTTCTGCTGTTTCAGATGGCGCTTCACGGCCACGGGAGCTCACAGCTGAAGAACGCACACTAATATTTCTGCAGGTGACGTTTTATTTTTCCCAGAATGCATACTAATATTTCTGCAGGTGACGTTTTATTTTTCCCAATACACATTTATAGTCTTGGAGTTAAATTTTTCATGTGTTAATCTCTGGTTTTATCTTAATTTGCAGTCCACTGACAGGGATTCAAGAGGTAATCCTTATGGAGTAGGAAGCCTCAAGGATTCTACTGTCAATGGCAAGCGGAAGCATCCAGGTGACTCCTCTTCCTTTCGGAGCCTGCAAGAACAATTGAAGGAAGCACAACAAAAGATAGAAGAGCAGGCTGCGCGTGAAGCTCAGCAGAAGGACAAGCTCGACAACTTCTCCATGGTGGAGAAGTATTTGCGCCAAACTGATCCTCAGTTCCTGAATTGGATCGCAAATCATTCAGCTCAAGAGACTGCCACAGCCCCTCTCTCAACCTCTCAATCTCAAAATAATCAAGCTACATCTCCATCACCATCTGGTGAATAGGTTTCTGTTTCTTCCCCCAAGAACTTGGTTTAACTTTTCAGATTCTGTAGACTTGAACATGTGTTTTGTTTGGTTTTAAGTTTGGTATGAACTTGTTGAAGTCAGACTTGTTGTATAAGTACTGTTCTTTTGGTATTTGGTATTATATTATATATGTACTGTTCTTTTAGTATTTGGATTTGTTTTTGGTTTTGTTTATTAAAATTACAATTAGGAACAAAACGTTTTACAAATGGGCTTTTTTTTTTCATAATTACACAGTAGTCGCCAATAAGTCACCAATAATAACGACTAATGACATTCGCAATCGCTTCATAGTCGGTAAACATAGTCGCTTATTAGTCACTAATTTTTAACGACTACACGAAATGACACTGGCCTAAAGCATATTAATCGGAACAAAGTCGTCTATTAGTCGCTAAAAGTTACGACTACGTAACGACTATGTTACGATTACATATTTGTAGTCGTTAAATAGTCGCTTTTTGGCGACTATTTAACGACTACAGTATTTAGCGACTCTCGATTACCGACTACAATTAATAGTCGTTAGTTAGTCGTATAATTACATTTAGCGACTAATTGCCGACTAATAAAGTAATCGTTAATGAGCTGTTTTCTTGTAGTGAACAGTATTCTCTGTTCTTTAACTTCTCTCTCCTGAAACACCAAAGGTTAGCCCTCTCTCTCTCCCTCTCTCTATATTCTTAAATAAATTATTGTAAACGTAAAGAGCATAGTTTGGAAAACTATAGAGTTCTATTGTCTTCTAATGTAGATAATAGTTTTTTTTGGTGAAAATTAGATAATCATAATAGTGGTAACCGTTTTATTTTTGTTTCACCCAAGAAATTTGATCTTTTGAACGGCCTTCTTGCTTCAGTCTAGATCTTGTTTGATCATCGGCTTGAAATGGTTTTATCTTGTAATATTGCTTTTGATGCGAAGTACTGACTAAGTAACACAACTCCCTACATGGCTCCATGTCTCAAGATTCAAATCTATCTAATATGACCGAAAGGTTGGAAGTGGCAAGCAAATATAAGTGGGATGATGGATCCGACCATTGGGATACTAGAAACAATATATACAAGTTTATCTACTTAGTTGTAACAGAATATTCCTATATTCTATCAACAAATATATATATATATATATATATATATATATATATATATATATATATGTACGAGGTGGTCCTACAATTTATCAAGTTTGAATATGTCAAGGATAGACAACTGAAAGATGGATCATTCTATGGTTATTCAGACACATGATTCACTCAGATGGTACTACTTGGAAATAAGACAATTTACACAAATGGTCCCAATTTTTTTTTTTTTCCAAAAATAGCCCCATATTTCATAATTTCCAAAAATATCATCCAAAAGTTTTAATTAAACATTAATTAAAAAAGAAAATAGAAAAGAGAGAAAGAGACTAACCTATTTCGTGAATTCTCCTTCGTCGCTACCAAAAGTCTCATCTTCTCTCATTTTCGACGACCGCCGGAATCTCGAACGCCTCCACCGGAAAATTCGATCTCCTCCGGTATCTCAAACCACTGCCTCCACGATTCCACGATTCCTCGACTCAACCCCAAAGTTCTCTGGCCTTCCCGATCTCTGGCCTTCCCGATCTCTGGCCTTCCCAATCTCTGGCCTTCCCAATCTCCGTCGGAATCCTCTTTTCTCTCTGCTTCATCGTGTTCTAGAGTTTCCAGTAAGTTCTTATTATCTTTTCTTGTATTTTAATTTCTCTTCTTTTTGGTGTTTTGAATCGTCTTCAACGATTTGGTTTTTGTGGGTCTTTTACAAAAAGTCGAATCCTTTTGTTTGATTGATTTGTTCAAAAGGGGCCGGGTTTTTGAAAGTTGTTAGCTTTTAATGACGAATCCTTTTCATGTTCTTAAAGTGGCTGGCTTTGTATATCATTTGATTTGCTTAACAAAGTTGTTTAGGCATACATTTGTTGGATTTGTGTTTGCTATAGAGTGGTCATATGTTTGATTGATCTGTTCAAGAGGAGTCAGGTCTTTGAAAACCATTAGCTTATTATGATTGAACCTTTTTATGATCTCCAAGTTCCTTGTTTTGTATATCATGTGGTTCAGGCATGCTTTGTGTTGGTCTTGTGTTGTGCATTTGTTTGCGTTTAAAGGCTCTATCTACGTTCTCATTCTCATTTGGAACCAGTTTCTTCAATTTTCGTTTGTTGGTGAATGATAAGATGTTATCTAGAATGGTACAGATGGTTTGTGTATATGGTTATGTTTTTTGTATGAGTCTGCAACACAAATTGATTAGAGATTCATCTATTTAAGACTCTCTTTTGTTAACCTTAGCTTCTCTTAGATAGCTTGTGAGTCGTAGTTTTCATCATATTAGTTTATCACTTTAAAAGAGTTTAGTTTTTGTCACAATTTGAGAGATATATCGTCACATAGTTATAGATTCAAGTTTGTGATATGAAGATATGAATAAACATTGTCTACTTGTTTCTGTGTTGTCATCGTCTGTTCTCTTTACTTGATAGAGTTGTTTTAGTTTACATTCCAGAATGGTCTTCCTGATTCGAGAAGGACTTATAGTAATTCGGGATGGTCTTCCCGATTCAGGAAGGACTTATAGTAATTCGGGAAGGTCTTCCCTGAATATATTTGTTTAGTGATTCCCTTTAATTTTAATTGCAGGAAAATGGGAGATTCGTTTCCAATTGATCTCACACTGCCAAAGCTTCTGTACAATATAGGACATGAGCCAAATTCAGATGTTAGGATAAATCAATGTGCAAGATATGAGTATATTGATAAAGTACAACGCATCCTCTCTGCTACAGAGTTTCAGAGAATTGGATATTTCTCCAAGCTGCGTGATATAGATTCAGAAGACATCAGAAACAAGTTGGCTATGGATATCTTCAATGAGTGTGATAAGATTTCTTAGGACTATGTTTCTTTATTGGATGTATGATGCTTGTGAAACCATTTTAGACTGTTTTGGTACTTCTATGATGGTTCTGAACTAGAAAAGTATCATCTGTTTCTATTTATATTTTTTTGAGATATTCAATATATGGTATTTTGTCAGATACCATATGTTTCCTACAGATTATCTACTCAGTTGTATGCTGAAAGTATGCTCTCAGCATATCCTTTGCATCTTAACTGTGCAATTTGTGAAAAATTTGAGGCAAACTATGCAGAAGTAAACAATTATTGAAATTCAGGAAGGATATATACAAATTCAGGAAGACCTTCCCTACAAAAGAAAAACAACTGTAATAGTTACTTCCACCAGGATTCGAAACCGGGACCTATTGTTTTTGTAATAGAAAATATAACCAGCGAGCCAAGCATCTTATTGTAAGATTTTGTACAAACGAACGTATATATTTCTATGAAACACGAAACATATCATGACATAAAAAGAGATTTTTATAACTTCGCAGTAGCTTGCCTATGATTTGCATTTTTGTGTGTAGTGTCACATGTGTGCTCATTGACCCTAAAAAAATGTGTAATTTGTGATTAATATGAGGTAAACTATGCAAAAGTAAACAATTTTTTAAATTCAGGAAGGGTTTCTTAAAATTCAGGAAGGATATATACATATTCAGGAAGGTCTTCCCTAAAAAAAAGCTGTAATAGTTATTTCCACCAGGATTCGAAACTGGGATCTATTGTTTTTGTAATAGAACATGTAACCAGTGAGTCAAGCTTCTAATTATAAGATCTTATACAAACGAACGTATATATTTATATGAAACACGAAACACATCATGACATAAAAAGAGATTTTTATAACTTCGCAGTAGCTTGCCTATGATTTGCATTTCTGTGTGTAGTGTCACATGTGTGCTCATAGCAATACTTCTTCACCACAAATAAATCAGAAGAATCTAACCTTATTGTACGCATCCTCCAAGTACATTTATCATCTACAGATACCAAAACCACTCTCTCTTTGTTAGACAATCGAGATCTAAACTCAAACTTATACTCCAACTCCCATGTCCTCATCTTCTGCATTAACTCAGCCTTTTTCATGAAACATTTATTAACATATATATCATTAGCACCTTGTGTTGAATGTACACCGCCTATAGGAATCAGACTACGATCTGGAGCAGAAAACAAATCCAATGACTTATTGTCTCTTCCCTTTTCAGCCGTTGAACATGTATCACTATATTGCACAGAGATGGAAGAAGTTCCGACTGATAGATGAGGTTCCTACAAACACAAAAATAGAGAGACATATGAACAAAGAGTTAAAATTGAAAAAAAAAAGACGACTAGAAACGGATCATATCTTTATATTGCAGTATTTAGGAAGGTTATCCTAAAACTAAATGTATCCTTCCTAAAACCTATGAAATTGAGTTTTTACCTTCTGGTTTTCATGTGCAGTAGAGATAAAAGAAGTTCCAACTGAAGGATGAGGTTCCTACAAACACAAAAATAGATAAGCATATGAAAAAAAGTTAAAATTAAAAAAAAAAAAGATGACTAGAAATTGATCATATCTGTATATTGCAGTATTTAGAAAGGTCATCCTAAACCTAAATGTATCCTTCCTAAAACCTATGAAATTGAGTTTTTACCTTCTGGTTTTCATGTGCAGCAGAGATAGAAGAAGTTCAAACTGAAGGATGAGGTTCCTACAAAAACAAAAATAGATAGGCATATGAACAAACATTTAAAATTGAAAAAAAAAATACGACTAGTTCGGATCATATCTGTATATTGCATTATTTAGGAAGGTCATCCTAAAATTAAATATATCCTTCCTAAAACCTATGAAATTGAGATTTTACCTTCTGATTTTCATGTGCAGCCGTTGAATGTGAACTTCCTATAGGAATCACAGCAGAATCTCGAGCATGAGGCAAAAATAATGAATAATTGCCCTGTCCTTTTTCAGGCGTTGAACATATATCACTTGGTGGCACAAAAATTGAGATGTCCATTCTAGTGCCTTCTTTAGCCTGCATAACTTATAAGATTAATGGTAATGCATGGAGATAAGAAGTTTTGGTTGCTTACCTCAAGTTCTCCAAGTTCCAAATCGTCAAGTTCCTCGTAGATGCAAACTTCGTCTTCATCATCCAAACTTTAATTCACCAACACGATTTAATCAACTCTAGAAACCATATAAACAAAAACAAGGACAGGACTAGAGATCACGACTTTATTTTTTGACTTTATTTTTTTTCATTAACCATTTTTTTTGCAGTTTGAGATTGATCCATAAAAAAGTGAACATCTTTTATCTGTTTTGCACTTCAATTCAAAATCAACTTGAAGATCTCTGAAATAATGGGCTATGAAAATTTTATGATCGTAAGTTTAAGCTAGCAATGGACGGAAAAAACATCATTGGGTTTCACGGTTCTGCTGATGCTAACCTCAGAGTTCTTGGAGCATATTTTACTTCGATTACTCCTGCAAGAATGGAAGCCAAAGGGGACAAAGGAGGCAGGGAATGGGATGATGGAGGAGTTTATGAGGCTGTAACAAAGATTCATGGACGAAGTGATCATAACGGCATAAAAGACATCACATTCGATTATGTTGACAAGGATCGCATCCCAAAGATGAAACCCATGGTTCTACCTCGGGTAAAGGTTACATACTCGAGCCGGTATGTGTGACCAGGAATATTAAAAATTAAATCTCCCTTTTTTTTTTTTTCTTTTTTTTTTTTTTTTTTTTTTTTTGTAAACGAAATCTCCCTTAAATGTGATGACTAGTGCTTAGTATAAAAATTAAATCTCCCTTAAATGTTAATGTGATGTTTTAATGCATTTTTTGTTTTTAGTTTGAGATTAACCATCTTGACAAGGAATATCTGCTGTCTATTGACGGTTACTATGATGAGACATCAGGTGTCATTCAAGCACTGCAATTCAATACCAACATGAAGCCTTGGGCACTTATGGGCTACTATGAAGATGATGCTGTGAAGTTTACAATTGGATGCAATGGTAATAAGATCATTGGGTTTCATTTTCATGGATACGCTGAGAAGAACCTAAACTCTCTTGGAGCATATTTCACAATACTTCCTCGCTACCTAAATTGGAATACATAGATAGTTTTCGTGGTAAGCTCCCTATCAATGGTTCTTCTGGTAACCTTTGGGATGATGGTAAGGAAGGTGCACATTTATTATGATGGATATAGTGTGCGGTGTGTTAGGTTCGACTATGATAACGGCGACAAAGTCGGATCCCGTGAGCACGTAAGACCATCTCCAACCATGGGATATTAGGTTGGGGTTCTTGAGAATTGTTTAATATTGATTTTGAAAAAACTAAACTTAAGAGTTTGTTTAGGAACTTTAAATTTTGTGTGTGTCCAATGGTAGCATCTTAAATTGGGGCTCTTAATATATATATATATATAATATATATTATTAATTTTAGAAAACTTAATAATTATTGAAATTCATAAAATTTGTAACATGACATAAAATTTTAAACATACATAACAAAATATTTGATTTCAATTCGGTCTAAATTTTTGCCAAATATGCTCAACCAAATCCGACTTCAATTGTTGATGCATTGTTCGATCACGAAGTCGAGCTCGAGTGGCCATTATATTTCTGAGATTTGAAGCCATTTCTGTAGAATAGTTGAAATCTACTTATGAACCGCTTGTTGATCCCGCTTGTGTGAATTCGTCCACTTCAAACTGAGTGTATCCATCTTGTTCGTCTTCTACTATCATATTATGAAGTATTATACATGTTTGCATAATCTTTCCAATTATTACCTTATCACATTTAAGAGCTGGATTTTTGATAATTGCAAAGTGAGCTTGCAAAACTCCAAAAGCACGCTCGACATCTTTCCGACAAGCTTCTTGATGTGTTGCAAATAAAGATGCTTTCGGACTTTGTGGAATTGAAATAGATTGGATAAATGTAGTCCATTTTAGATAAATTCCATCAGTGAGATAGTAAGCCAAATGATAATCGCGTCCGTTCACTACGTATTTCACATTTGCAGCTTGACCTTGTAATATATCATCAAATACTGGAGAACGATCAAGAACATTGATATCGTTTAATGTACCTGGAGGTCCAAAAAATGCATGTCATATCCAAATATTTTGTGAAGCTACAGCCTCTAAAACGATCGACGGTTTTCCAGATCCACGCGTATTTTCCAAGAGGTGTGACAATTTTTTCATTCTCAATGCATACAATCGATGCTTTCTATCATCCCGGTAAATCCGCGTATCTCTCCGATATGGAGTAGTCGGATAAGATCTTCTTGTGTAGGTCTTCTTACTCATTCCACGTGTTTCTCAAGATTCAAGTGTGGTGTTGCTGCAAATGCAATTATGAACTTCCCTAACGCCTTAAGAGTTTACAAGAATCCAGGAAATATTGGTGGAAACCAAATCACAACTAGAAAAGCCACAAAGATTAAAAAGTGTATAATTGTGTTCTGTAATAATTATCTCTATGAAAAAACAAATCACTTCAACGAAACTAAATTTTTCTCTATGTAACAATTTATCTCTATCTCTATCTCAATATCTCAATTTGCTTTCAGACAGGAGAGATTCAACAAGGTAAGAGGCTAAAGCCTCTTTCTTTCGGCATCTAATTGTCTCACAAATCAATATCAACGTAGAAAATTTGTATGTAATCAATTGGCATGAGCAAATTATACAGAGAAAAGTTCTGAATTTGATTACTAATTTAAGTTAAGAACTTTGATTCAAACGAATCCGAACAGAACAAAGAGATGTTGATACGGAAACAAAGAAGAAGAAGAAGAAACCTGATTTAGAATTGAAGAGAGAGGATGCTGCGAGAGCTAATCTCCCACAAATCGCAGTCTCCATTGTTGAATGGATGCTTCTCAGTTCTCTCAAGTCTTTACAAAACACAATATACAAATGATCTGCTTATTGATTCAAAAACCCCAAATTTAACTAATATCGAAGAACCCTAATTTTCTCAGGAACCATCATTTGTAAAATCAAGTAACCCTAAATCACGAATTCATACCTCCGATTTGTCATCGTTTGCATCCGATTAGCTCGAAATCGGAAGCGATTTCGATCTCTCCGATTTGTCGCCAAAGAAAAAAAAAGTCGAAGAAAGAGAAAGAAACAGCAGCTAATTTTTGTCGCCAAATACACAAGACTTTATTTCCCTATCTTAGCAAAAAGCTTCGACCAATTTAATTGCGCCACGTCATCGAATCTTATGGGCTCTATAAACTCCCATTTCAGAAGCGCTTCTTCATGTGGTCGGCCTTTTTTTGATTATTTTGATCCAAAAATAATAAGAGCCCATGATAATAATTGTTAGGAAGTGCCGTTGAAGATGCTCTAATGCAGTTTGTCCTGGACTATCCAAATGAAGCTATTACGTCTGTGGAGGGGATCGCCACTACCGTTAATAACATAACCACCATTTGTACTGGAAACATGATGATTAAATTTAAATCGTTGACTTTCGAAATATCAAAATGTAGAACCTCTCCGACATTTGGTAATGTGTTTGGTAGCGATCTTACAGAATTCGTGCTTGAGAACCCAGGCTGTACTACTGTTGGATTCCATGGACGGTCTTCTCATATTTGTATTCATGCTCTTGGAGCATATTTTTTCCCGATGCCTCTTTCTCATGATGGGTGAAAACTGGAAGCACAAGGTGATGATGGTGGTTAATTTGGGCGGTGTTTAATCACGTTCTTGTACTGATCTCCTCTATATCTTGCGCTCTACAAAAAAAATAGCTGAAACTAATTATATAGGGAATAGGATGGGAGTTTCGGGAATTCAAAACGCATTATACTCTTCTAAGAAATCTGACAAAATAAATCCAAGCGTTGAGAGTTTTTTTGTTTTTGTTTTTGTTTCTTTAATGAAATGCAATGGACGTGGGTTCCATTAAATAATACGATTTTATATTAAAAATTGTATAGACTCTACTCTAAATTATATAACTTATAGATATATTGACTATCGAAAGTGGAGGCATAAATAGTTCGTTAACAGTCAAAACTTGTATATATATAAGAACCGTTCTTAAGACTCCATCTTCCATCATCGGATGTCATCTCTTTCTCTCTCTCCTGCTATTAGGATTTTGATCATTGGGTTTCATGGATATGCGGAGAAGAACCTTAACGGAGTAGTTTGAGCTGAATTCTCCTAGTGAATATGTCACATCAGTGGATGGTAGTTATGATACTATCACCATGCTTAGGTTCAAAACCAACAAACAAACCTCTCCCGAGTGTATGTGGACTCGGTTCAACTACGAATACAAGCTTCTTAGTCCACAAGGATGATCACAAGATCGTTGGTTTCCATGGAAGATCCAGCAACATGCTTTATCAAATCGGGGTCTATCTAAAGTTCGATAATTTGATCAGTATCTTTTACTCCACCACGTACACGTTTCTCTCCTATGTTTTAAAGCGACAATCTCGTGTAATAAGACAAAACAAATCTATGTTAAAAGTTGTTATTTTCTCCTAAGAATAAGCCATTGTCCAATCTTTCATCAGCAAGTGATGATCTCTCCCAAGCTTTCTCGCCACACTCATCTTATGTTTTGGTTCACAATTTTACAAACTTTGAGCTATATATCTATTATACACACATATATGTAGCTTTAGCCAATGCGTGTTACAGTTACAAGTAAGTTAAGTGTTTCTACTTACTTTCAGAAAAAGAAGGACACAGATTTCTTGTGAAGCTTCTTTGTCGAGCGAGATTTCGTAAGCGCATCTGCGAATTTAATCAGCTCTTTCTTCCCGTTTTGATCTGATTCCAAACAGTGTTCTTCTCCATAGGTGGAAGAACCTGCTGCTTCGCTCTTACGACGCAGCTTCCTGATGTGATCCTTGAAGTCTTCTTCCTCGTCTTTCCCATGCATCAACATTTGGAAGTCCATTGAATGCGTTGATCTAAGCTGCCTAGGAGTTGAATGAACACCCGTGTTTGCGCTGCTCGGTTCCGATGAACCAGCTCTCTTCTTGCGGTCTTGAGTATCTTTACCGTGTAAGATCTTCATTAACTTATGCATCAGCTTCTTCTTTCCTGACTTTTTTGTTTTCGTCGCAAACAAAGTGTCGACAGAAGAATCATCTAAAAACATTGAGTCAGTGATCATTGATGACTCTTCCTGCGAAGATGACCATCGATCATAATCAGTATTCTCTTCCTCATGCCCTTCACTATGTGCATACTCGAGGATAAGCTGCTTAGCTTTCTCTTCTGAAGTAGGACTTAGAGTAGTACTAAGATCCCTAGCAACGGTTTTACCCACTGGAGGCTGGTAAGTCCTTAGCTCATATCTTAAGCAAGCATTTATCCATCTGAGATAAACGAGCTGCTCGAGGTCAGTGCATCGATCACCCTGAAGCTGTTCGACTTCCTTCTTTAACTCTTCATTTTCACTCCTCAATCGGTTACCATCTTCGCGTAATGTCTCAATCTGTAACAAAAATTATCAAATAAGGATACAATTTTTTAGAGAAATTCCAAGAATTTGAGGATCCAAATGTGGAAATGTACCTCTTCAGGGTCCTCAAGCTTTGAATTTGCTATGATTTGAACAGACTCCAGCTTCTCAGAAAGTTCAAAATTCTCAAACTGTAATCTCATGTTGGAATCCGTAAGAGCGTTGATCTCCCCTTCTAAATCCCTTAACCTCTGCATCATCTTATCAGCTTCAGGATCAGGTAAAACAGCCTTGATTTCTTCTTCTTGCAGCCTCGCCACTCGTTGTTTAAGTGACAAGATCTGCGCTACGTGTTGTTGGGTATTGATGTTCAGTTTCTTCTTAAGCACCTGAACCTCTGACTTAGCCTTTTCAAGCTCCAACAAAAGTTTCGAATGCTCAGAACATTGCGCCTTAAGCTTCTCATTCTCGGCTTGCAACGACTTGATCTTAAAATTGAAAACTTTAGTCTCCATCTGGTTTAGTTTCAATCTACTTCTCAGTTCCATTGCAATCTTTTGCTGCTCCTTGAGGCTGTAGTATTCCAACAACTTATCTTCAAGACATCTCTCTCTCTCACGCAGCGCTCTCACCGTGTTTCTCAACCGCTTAATCTCATTCTCATAATCAGCTTCCTCTTCGCTCGGAAATGCTAAAGGAGCGGTTATATCCGACCTCGGTGTTTCACACTCATCACAAACCAACAAATCTAACTTTTTAGCTTCCTCTTCAAACTCCGGTAAAAGAAACACATCTTCTTCATCAAGATCACATTCCCTTCGTGGCGAAAAACCGATTAAAGTCTCTTCATCAGTATTCTGCGTGCCCGCATCTCCTCTCTACCGAGGATAAAAAAGCAGAATCAGATCAAAGTTCCAGTAAATAGTCTCAAATAATCTCTACAGATTATAAGTCAAGGCTAAAAATAGCAACTTCCTATACCACAAACTGTTCATGAGATTGAGAAATTTGAACTTACATCAATGGATTGATTAGAACAATCTCTGTATCCATTATCTGAAATTGACAAAACCCACTTTAAGAATAAGACTCAGGACTGCCTAAATTAATCAAATGGTATATACAAAAAAGCAATAAGACAGAGAAACACAAACCAGAAGATTGAGGTCGAAGAGGAGGCAAAGTAGGTCCAATTCTTTTTGTTTTCTTTCTAAATCGGGAAAAGAGAAATCCAGCAAAAGATACAGCAAGAGCTGCTCCTAGTTGAAGCACAAACAAGTTTATATCTCTTTTGTGTTTGGTAATGATCATATTCATAACTACCAATAAAAAAAAACCCCCAAAATTTTCAATCTGAAGAAAGACTAGATCATCTCTCTTCTTCTTCGTCAACCTCCATCTACACAAAAAAAATAAAATAACAGATTTTAATCAAAAAGACAAACTTTTGATGATGGAATTAAATAGCCCACCAAGGATCAACAGTAATCAACTCATTAACAGAAATCAAAGAGCTGATCAAAAAGACAAAGTTCTGATTTTTTTTTCCGTTCTCTTTCTAATAAAAAAAAAAACAGAGCTTTGGGAAGAAACAACCCAACAAAAAAAAATCGAATCTTTGTCTTATTTGAGGGAGATAAATTAAGTCAAAAGCAATTCAAGTGAAACAAGGGAAAAAAAAAACATCTAAGTATCTAGAAGACTAACCAGAAACGCCATAAAAAATCTGCACGAAACGCTCTAAGTTTTTTGTTTTCCCAAGAAAATTTAGGAAGTTGGTAGCAGATACGAAAATTCTAGTGGGCAAAGAGAAAAAGGTTTGATGCTCTCGTGAGTGGGTTTATTTCATTGTCCGATGATCAAACACGGAATGTGATGTTTCTCTACAAATTTATGATTTGATTTGACGGCGAGAACTTTGATGACTTGGAGAAATCTTGAACAGAGGATGATGAAATGGCGATCACGAACATTTCAATATCATTAATAATTTAATTAATTTATAATTAATTCATATAGACTGGCTCTTTATTGTGACTCAGTAGGTTGTCTTTTTATATTAAATTTTAATATTTTTTTTACAGTAATAATAAAAGATGCAATCTCAATGTCACATACTCGTGACATGTTCAGTAGTCTCAAAAATATTACAAGATAAAAAGAACAATTTGGACATGTTGAGCCAAATCCATGTAAAGAAAATTTTGGCCCAACTAAAAAGAGCCCATGTCGAAAGCATAAGCCCATGAAACTTACAACGTTCTTTAGTTTTAAAGAGAGAGTTTTTTTTTTCCGCAACTCATTTTTATTCAGACCCAATAGACAGATACAGATACAGAAGGGGCTGAGGCCCAAACAAATTACAAGCAAAAGTTAACCCTCCAAACTAAAACATAATTTAGTCAACAGATAAGAAGGATTTATGCAAAATATGCTTTAGTGTTAGACACGTGTAGGATGGATACATATTCTTCTCCAGTACACGTGTCAAGACATCGATGGCCACCGTCAACGTTCGTCGGACATCGCATGACTTCGATCAGCCGCCGCCGATCAACCCAGTAGCGATGAGAATCCTCCTTTCTTCTGCCGATCTCGAATCCTAGCCAAAACGTCGAGAAACTGCCGGATCGATTGAAAAAAGAAAACGCTTCAAAACTCTCCCAGCAACATCATCTCCGGGGAAGCTCCACCACTGGTCACACCCAACTTGATGTGGTTTGATCTTTTCTCTTAC